AAAAGGTTCGCCATCACTGGGGCCCTAGACGGATGCAAATGTGGGAAGTCTATTCATAACAAAGCGGAACTACTTCTGGGAAAGAGACGTCCACGTCCCCCCCCCCACCCCCCCCCCCCCCCCTGCCCCCAGTGCTGCAATGAGAAGACATCGCGTTCTCTGCGGTATTTACAGACGCGGGAGAGCGCAGCGGCAGCCCGGCACAGGCTGTCCTGACCGAGTTTGAATCTCAGCTCCATCTACTAGCGGGGCTTCTGGCACTTACGGAACCGCCTGGTGCCTCAGTTTCCCTGCTTGTAAAATGGCAGATAGAAGTGGGGGGGGGGGTTATGCCCCTCATAGCACAGTGCTTGGCAGAGTAAAAAGCCTCAACAGTAAATGTGTACTATACAGTGACATTTTAAAAATGTTTGTTATAGGCAGAAACGCTTCTGGGATACAAAGTTGAATAAAATATAGTGCCTCTGCCCAGAGGAATTTACACTCTTGTAACAAGTATAATGATACCATAAGATTAACGCGGGTAAATAGGAGAATCAGGTACTTCTAAAGGGGAGAGGACTTCCGGGTGCTATTAACTAATTGTGTTCCCCATAACTACATGGTTTATAGTCCAGTTAAAATCTCAGGACTGCTTTCTGAGCTATTTTAACAGGAAACCCCAGAATGCTTATCCAAAGAAGTGAATGTAGCATCGACTTTCAAGCCAAAAGCTCTGCCACGGAAAGGCTCGTAAGAGACCGTGGCTTACACACCCCGAAGCCCTCTCTGAAGTTTCTCCCATCCAGGCATTCTAACCAAAAGGACTTTTGTAAAGTTATAAAAGTAAATGCCTATCGACATTGGCGCTCTTAAAGCCAGCCAGACAACTCTTGCTTTCTGCGAAGCTCCAGGGTGTTCAAAGGGCTTTGTTCCTGACGCATTAACACAGGACTGGGAAGCCATCTTGGGAACAAAAGGGCTGTGTGCACGGGAGGTTGAGGCGGCGGTAACCAGGCAACGGGATGCCCAAGCCCACTGCGCAGCCGCACTTCCCTGCGCCCAGCGTCAGTCAGCCCCGTGCGCAGGCTGGCGAGGAGGCCCCGGAAAATTACAGAGGTTCCTCTTAAAGGCACCCGCGCATTTTCTGCCCAAAGCTCCTGCTCTGGTCACCCAGCAGCGGTTCTCAACCTGTGGGTCGCGACCCCTTTGGCGGTCCAATGACCCTTTCACAGGGGTCGCCTAAGACCATCCTGCATAGCAGATATTTACATGACGATTCATCACAGTAGCAACATTATAGTTAGGAAGTAGCAACGAAAATAATTTTATGGTTGGGTCACAACATGAGGAACTGTATTTAAAGGGCCAGAAGGTTGAGAACCACTATAGAAATGTGAAGCTGTGGTCTCCATTTTACCATCGGAGAGGAAATAAAATTAAATTCGAAGTCAATTCCCAAGGCAGGCCTCGTCTATAATTAGGCAAATACTAGGTGTACCGGTGAATAATGCGGATTTTTTCAATAGGTGGAATTACACATGTTGATATATATGCTATTTTGTTGTATTGCTCCTTCAGATGACCACTTGTTCCGATCGATGGCACACGCACTTTCTGAGCAGCACTTCAAAACGTACGAAGTGGAAAATTGGGTCTCTGAATGGTCTGCCTCAAAACAAGAAAAATTCTATTGGGACGGTATCCACAACTTACCTGAAAGATGGGGGAAATGTGTAGCTAGTGATGGACATTAGTTTGAATAAAGCACTTTTGATGTTTCTCTTGAAATTATCATGTTTTCTTTGGTTACAAAATCTGCATTTTTAACCAGTTGAGTGTCAATCCGCATTATTAACCAGTTTAAGGGGCCACAGGACGGGTTCAGGATGCATCAGGTTTGTCTTTTACTTTATAGGTCAGTTTATACAGTAGAATAATCTATGCATTCTTCCTGTTTCTTAGTTGTCAAAGAACTTTTCTTCATGTTAGAAGCTTTTATGATTCACAAGTTAAGCCGTTGTTTATTGCTCTCTTACTTTTCTGAAGGAAGAAATAACAAAATCCTCCTGGTTTTTGCAACGTAAACACTTAGGCTATATTCTACTTCAGTCCGTGGCTCCGCAGTTAATCCCCTTACCAAGCAATGTTCACTAGAAGCCATCCTGCAAACAGCTGGATGAAAAGGGAATACTGCTTGTCCGGAAATCAAGCTCTGGAACATTAAATGTCTCTTCAGTCCATTTCAAAAGATAAAAGATCGTCCTCCTCTCTGTTCTTCCTCTGATGGTTTGCTCCGTGGCAGTTTCTTTTCCTTTTTTTGTAAACTGCAGTCAGGCACACCCATCCCCTCCTGCTGTGCTCAGGCTCTGAGTGCAGACACTACCGTGGGTGTCAGAAGGGAATTGTCATGAAATATGGAGGCGATGTTCCAGTCCTATCAGGGCCCAGGCAAATTGATTTCCCACTTTCCTACTGAGCCATTTCCACCGTGCTTCTTGGCTATATTTAAGTCACATTACATCTCCACTTCAATCCTCTTTGTACATCTCTCCCCCTCCTCCCCCCCACAGCCGCCCCCATGTAAATTCTCTCGC